GCGGGCTCGGTGCCGGCTGGCGGAAGCTCCTCTCTGGCCGGCGCTTAATAGGTCTCGCTTGTGCTTCCTGTTTCCTCTTTCCCAGGGACCCGCCAACATGGTAGGTCTCTTAGGTCTCGGTGTGTGTCGCCTTCAATCGTTCTGCATCTGCGGCCCCTGGCGCGCCAGGGAACCTCTGAGCCCCAGGGTCACGGACCCCGGTGGGCGGGGCCGCCCAGCTTTGCCCAGGGCTATGCCTCCCAACCCCTGGCCCGGCCTGAGGCTGCCTTCTCCCTCCAGCCGGTAGGCAGACTTGGTGACCCTGTCTTCTCCCCGCGCAGGGCCGCGTTCGCACCAAGACAGTGAAGAAGGCTGCCCGGGTCATCATAGAGAAGTACTACACGCGCCTGGGCAATGACTTCCACACCAACAAGCGCGTGTGCGAGGAGATCGCCATCATCCCCAGCAAGAAGCTCCGCAACAAGATAGCAGGGTGAGTGGGCGAACGGGGGCGAAGTCCACTCCCGCGAGTAGCTCGCCCGAAAAACCTTGGGCAGTTGTCTCACCGGCGGTGGTACTGTTTTGTTTGGAGAGGCCGAAGTCGGGTGTCTGGCCTTAAGGCCTGCCTGCTCCGTCAGCTTTAATATCTGTCTCATCACCGTTGCTCCAAAAACTATGTCGCTTGGGGCCGAGCGTGATGGCGCACGCCCGTAATCCCAGCACTCTGGAGGCCGAGGCAGGAGAATCGCCAGTAGTTGGAGGCCAGCTTGGGCCGCGTACTGAGTTCAGGAGCCGCCTGAACTACGTACACCCGGTTTAAAAAAAAAAAAAAAAAAAAAAGTGCCTGTTGTGTGGAGGCTGTGGTAAACTTGAAAGAGTTTGAGTAATGTTGAGAGAAACCAAAAGGATGGGAATGTTCAGGTAAGCAGAGGTTTTGTGTGTGTATACTGTTTACTGTTATGGTGACCCATTCCCTTTTCACTGTACAAAAGAACTAAAACTGGCATTGATGGGTCCAGGTGTTCTGGGTACCAGGGGGAATTGATGTGTGTCCTCACTGCTTTCCTCGGGCATATGTACCTGTAGATATGTCACACATCTGATGAAGCGGATTCAGAGAGGCCCTGTGAGGGGTATCTCCATTAAGCTGCAGGAGGAGGAGAGAGAAAGGAGAGATAATTACGTCCCTGAGGTAAATTTTTTGGGTCTTTCTCTGGCTTTTCCAAGAGGGCTTTAACTGTATCTGGGAAGGGCTCTTAGATCTCCAGCTGTAGGTCCTTAAATCTGCCTATTAGCCTCCTGTCTGGTTAGGACCAAGTTAAGTCCATGCCCCTTTTCACCTGAGAGCCCCAGGTGATGTATGGTGGGTGCAGTCTTGTTCTGGTTTTGTTTTTGTTACCTGCCGCAGCAGTGTTTCTGAAGTGCAAGCTGAGTCTCAGGCTTTCTAGATACTGAGTAGGATGGCAAAGCCACCACTGCTCCTTGGACCTGAGGTCACTATAACAGACCTGCTGTTGCTCACCTTGTGAGATCCTAAACCCCAGGGAAAGACATTTAAGAAGCCAGAATTCATGATTCATGTTTCGCACATTCTTCTAGGTTTCAGCCTTGGATCAGGAGATCATTGAAGTGGATCCTGACACTAAGGAGATGCTGAAACTTTTGGTAAGTGCTGGATTCCCCAGTCAAGACCCCTCTGTGGTTATCTCTAGTAGTAGTTATCACTAACATCAAGACCAAGGCTGCTCAGATGCTGAAGGGCAGAACTAGGAATCCTGTCTACACTGCTAACTGCTGAACCACACTGCCTTTAAAATGGGACTGGTTAGTCATTGAAGGTTATGTGCGCTGAGTTTATGTGGCTGTCTCTGTGGTGTCTGGGACACCCATTTATCCTGGCTCCTTCGATTCTTTTAGTTTCTGTGGCTGCTTCCACATGTGTCCTGTCTCTTGCAGCCCTGGCTGTCCTCTCTGCCTGGTTTCTTGGGAGACTTTGTGTTTCTGGTCTCAGTCCAGATCCACACCAGGCACTGTCAGGTGCTTCACAGATAGCTTTAGAGGAAGGAGTCTGAAGATGAGTCAGTCCAGCTTGCTGTTGATAATTTTGAGCCATTTCATTAAGTGGTTCAAAAAGAGAACAAAATGTACTCCCATGAACATATCACCCAGTTTAACAGTACAGCTAAAACTAACTATGGACTTTTTTTTTCCTGGAATAACCACTGTTGTGAATGCAGCTTGTGTGTTGGTTGGGTTTTTATGGTACTGAGGGAATTCAGGGCCTCACATGCTAGGCAAACACTGCACCACTGGGCTACATTCCTGGCCTTTTTAAATTACTGTTTGGAGATAAGGTGTCACTCAGGCTGTAGTTTGGTCTACCCTCCCAGGGCTGGTCCCTTCCCAGGTGTTGATCTGATTTGTGATCCCTGAGTCTGTTGCTGGAAGGGAGGTGGGGCCCTGTGTCATAGAGGTGTTTCAGAGTCCTACCCCCAATACCAATATCCCAAATCAATGATGGCAAAGCCACAGCACATGTGTTTGACTTGTTTTTTTGTAAACTAAAACCTCAGTATTTAGGTTTAATGGCAGTATTGGCACTTGGGATAAATAAATGTGTTTGGGGTTGCAGTTTGGCACTTGCCTCTAAAAGGTTTGCCATCACGGCCCCGATGCTCATTTTACATAATTTACATCTCCCCTTTAAGTTAGATTGTGTCTAATACAGGGTAAAGGCTCTTTCAGTTGTTAGACTGTTTATAGTGACCAAAAGCTGCGTGTTTAGTATAGCTGCAGTTTTTCCTAAATGTTCTTCAATCCATGGTTGAGTCCATGGATATGATGGGGCGGGGGTAGTTATTCTCAGAGGCAATGGGTTTTGTTAAAGGATATTTTTTTTGCAGGTGGGTACCTTTTTGGTGGGGGGTACTGGAGATCGAACTTGGGACCTTGTGCTTGCGAGTCAGGTGGCCGGACCACTGTGCTAACTAATCTCCAGCTTTTTTTTTTCCCCTCCCCAGACAAGTTTTCATTATGTAGTTTAGGCTGGGCTTTTGCATGAACTGATCTCCTGCCTCAGCCTCCTATATATGTTAGGGTTACAGGCCTGTACCACCAAGCCCGGCCTGAGTAAAACTTTCCATGGCTGAGCTTAGACATCTGCTGATGGGCATCTTGAGGATAAAGGCAAGAGGTGCTATTGTACCTCCTACAAAGCACAAGATGCCCCCTGTAAAAACCGCATATCCATCCCAGCACTCAGGGAGGCCAACCCAGGAGGATCCCAAGTTTTTAGCCCAGCATGGGTGACTTGGTGAGATTGTGTCTCAGAATTTAAACTCTGGGGAGAGATGCAGTTAGTGTGAAGTCTCTGGGTTTGTCCCCAGCACTGCTGACCGGGCACTGTGGACCCCCCTGCTGGTGTCAGTCTGCTGGAGGCTGCTGGCCGCTGCTGCAGATCACAGCTGCACAGCTCACTCTGACTGTTCTTTTCCAGGACTTCGGCAGCCTCTCCAACCTGCAGGTCACACAGCCTACCGTCGGGATGAACTTCAAAACTCCACGCGGAGCTGTCTGAATCTTTCTGCTGTTGTAATTTTCAATAAATTCAGGGCGACAGCTTTCTGTGTGTCATTGATGTGGGTCTGGATAGGGGTAGGGAGCCAGTGGGATCCCATGGTCTGTGAAGACTGGGTTCAGCTGACTTTGAGAGGGTCTTGGCTGGAGTCTCCACTCAGAGCAGCCTGGGCCTGTGTCACAGACCTGGCACAACCTTGTTGGGGTTCTGAAGAGGGGACCTGGGTGTGAGCTGCACCGGCCTTCCTGTGAGCTTCGAGGTCCCATGTGCGGAGCTGGGGTCTCTGTCCGTCTTGGAGCCTGGAGTGTGGGAGAGCCTGGGTTGGTGTGTTTTGTTATAGCACTGGGGAATCAAACCCACGGGTGCTCTGCTACTTCACCCCATTTTGGGGGATGGGGTCTCTAGTTACCTGGGCAGGACTTGAACTTGTGATCGTCTGTGCCTCAGCCTCCAGAGTACAGGGTATAGGTGTGCACCATCATGCTCCGCTCTTTATTGTTGGGGACGGTCTCAGAAGTAGTCCAGCTGGCCTCAGATTTGGGATCCTGCTGTAACCCGAGTATTGGGGTTACCTTTGTGCACCACCACACCCCCCTACCAGAGGAGCTGCTGCCCCTCCAGAGTTGCTCGG